ATGAGCCCATGATACATGTTATTAAATAAAAGTATAAACGCCAATTCCAATCCAGCAGCCACAAACTGAATACTCCTCCAGGGATTTGTCAACAGCAGCAATGCCACAGAGAAGCGGTTTGGATTCCTGCCATAGGGGCTTGTATGTGCAATATTATATCAAGTTGGAAATCAATTTGATATCGATGAGAACTGTTGTAATTTAGAGCATTGCTCCTGGGAAGCCTGTCGCCGATCTTCACGTTTCATGGGTTCCGGTTCTGGCATCACCTGAATACAGTCACATGATTATGAAACCTTTCTTACTGGGCCCCACTAAACCACACCTCAACACCAGGTTCAGGGAGTTCAAGAGGTAGAGTCTCCGTTTGATCAGGGTGTTGAAACAGAACCTGTCCAAGAATGAGATCCCAATGGTGGCTCTATATATAGGCAAAATGTCCCAATATATATATATATATATTATGATATGCAGCCTTCTTCACATCACAAGTCTCAGGCTCGGAGCTCATTGAGCTGGTCATCTCCTGAATGAATAGTCGATTGAGAGGGGGTGCAGGAATACACACGTGTATGGCTTGACAATTAAAGCTAGCCTCAGCATCATCATCATCACATGCATCCTCTAGAGCCACTTGCTGTGCTGCAGCGACATCTGAGCAGGAGGGAACATGTGGCTGGATTTTCATGTTAGTACACAAGGTCGTGCGATCCAAGCTATACAAAAAAAATAATGCCTTGTCCACTCTCCACCAGTGCCATCTGGATGACCTTCTTGATAAGTGACACAGCTTTCTTCCTGCCAAATGGGATATGCTTTGATGTGATGTTGTTATTAAGAACTGGCAAGGTTGTACCCATGGACAACCATAGCACGGCAGATTCCACCTGTCAATCCAGCCCATGCCTGCAGCAAGTTTCACACCATCCAAACATATCTCAAAAGTAATGGTACTATATTATATGTATATGGAAGGGTTTCAGCAATGTATCCAGCCTTGATTTGCTTCTTCTTGGTAGATCGTGGAAAGAAACCATACCGCAGTGCGCAGGAGTAGAACACTGCCTAGGGCATTCATGAATCATATCATCATTGTCATCGTCGTCATCATCACCATCATCATCATCATTATCATGATATTATATCATCAGCATCATCATCATCATCATCACCATCATCAGACAAATATCTTGACAAGGTTGTTCAACATGCCCAGACTAGCCTTGAAGACTCCCTGATGCGGCGTTCGTCCCAATGGAGCAAAAGTGCCATAGTACTCCACCAGGAAACGCCAGTTGTACTCCAACTTGGCACAGCTGGGGCCCATGGGAAATTTAGATTTTTTGGGGGAAAGGTAATGTGCTTATATTTAAAGAAATGGTCTAAGCAAAGGGCAGCTTCCGCAGACTCTACCCCATTGCTGTCAAGCTGAAAGACTTTTGTCTCCTGGTTAGATGTGCAGTTCCAAACACCCAATCAAACTCACACCATGAAAAATGCTTAACTCCGTGATGTGGTCCTGAGAGTCTCTGATACTGGGAATCCGAAAGGGGTCCGCATTGAGCCACGCAATGACAAGATCTTCCAGAAGATTTGTCTGAGACCTCTTGATGTCCTTCGCGCTAACCTCAGTTCAACTTAATAAGGAAAAAATGGGGCATCATGTGATTAAACAAAATATTATAGTGCATCAATATAATTCCATCTAGTGACAACAGCAAGGCTATCCATCGTGCCATCTAAAGGAGCTAAAGGAGATTCCTGGTCATGAGGTGCCATTGCAGCTACAGGCCGTCAGCTATCAGGGCAAAAATAGCTACAGGTCAAAGGATGGTGCAAGGTTGCAAGTACCACTAGTGGACATACACAGGGCATATGGGACATGCGTAATGTGGGGATGTGCATGGAATGAGGGCATGTCCATGGCATGTGCAGGATTGTGCAGGGCATGTGGGGGGATAGCGCCTTCAAACTGCTTCGCAGTACTGGGAACATCAGGAGCAGGAATAAGTTGATGCTGGCCTTGTGGCACGACGTTTTAACGTGCCACTCATGCGCAATTTTGCACATTAATGCGCAAACATAAACAAAGGCATGCATCTGGGCGCCTGGCAAAGTGCAACAGCCCTCTTCATGCCCAAAAACAGCACGCCAAATCATCCCCATCATGGCATGCGGCAAAGGGAGACAGTGTCAGCACTGATAAAAATGTGCTATTCTGTATAAATTCGATGTTTGTTTGCCGAAAATTTATCATTATATGGCATATATATAAGTGAAATCAAAAAAAATATAGTTATATATGAATGTGGCTTCTGAGAACCAACATTGAAAAGTCATATGTGAATGTAGGTCCTCAGAGCCGACATGGGCTCCGTGTGTTCTCAGAACCGACATTGCAATGTAAGAAACTATTCCTGACACAGATTCCCAGGGTATATACATTATGTTTTACATTATGTAGATGTAGATATACATTAAATTATATATATATTATATTTTTTGTATTTACACACACACTCTAAATATATATATATATATATATGCTAGCCCCCCCCAAGATCTACTTTTGATGCTCTTCTGGAGACGTACATGGTCAAACTCAATGAATTTGAATGGAAATTCTATTTAATTCATTACATTCATGTAATTGATTTAATGAATTAAATGAATTAAATAGAAAGCCTATTTAAGTCATTACATTCATTTAATTCATTGAATTGATTTAATGAATTAAATGAATGAAATAGAAAACCTATTTAATTCATTAAATTCATTTAATTCATTGAATTAATTTAATGAATTAAATGAATCAAATGGAAAATTTATTTAATGAATTAAATGAATTAAATGGAAAATTTAATTAATTCATGAAATTCATTATTAATTAAATGAATTAAATGAATTAAATGGAACATCTATTTAATTCATTTAATTCATTTTATTCATTGAATTAGTTTTATGAATTGAATGTTAAAAAAAAACAATGGAAAACCGTTTCTGGAATCTGGGGACCCCAGGAATGAAATGAATTAAATGAATTAAATGGAAAATCTATTTAATTCATTAAATTCATTTAATTAGTTGAATGAATTAAATGAATTAAATAAATTAAATGGAAAACTGTTTCTGGAATCTGGCGACCCCAGGAATTGAATGAATTAAATGAATTAAATGGAAATCTTTTTAATTCATTTAATTCATTTAATTCATTTAATTAGTTGAATGAATTAAATGAATTAAATGGAATATCTATTTAATTCATTAAACTCATTTAATTCATTTAATTAGTTTAATGAATTAAATGAATTGAATGAATTAAATAAATTAAATGGAAAACTGTTTCTGGAATCTGGGGACACCAGGAATTAAATGAATTAAATGAATTAAATGGAAAATCTATTTAATTCATTTAATTCATTAAACTAATTAAATGAATTAAATGGAAAATCTATTTAATTCATTAAATTAATTTAATAATTAATTGAATGTTATTTCATTTAATTCATTAAACTAATTAAATGAATTAAATGGAACAGCTATTTAATTCATTAAATTGATTAAATTCGTTTTTTAAATTAAATGAATTAAATGGAAAATCTATTTAATTCATGTAATTAGTTTAATGAAGCTAGCTATTTTCCATTGAATGAAAGCCAGAAAAGGAACAATCACATAGACCCTATAATACCCTCTATTTGCTCTCTGGATATTTCATAGCTAGCTCCTCAGCTGTCTTACTTTATACTTAGAGTTTTCTTGATTTGGGTTGAATCTTAGGAAATACAAAATAACCAAAACCTCGAGAAAACCAAAAAACCAAAAAAACAAAACTTTTCAGAGAATGTTTGGTCTGAGGCTCATGTTTGTTTTTTTTTGGTTTTGCCTAGTTTTTTTTGTTTTTTTTGGCCTTGACCTTGAAAAAACTAAAAGAACTCCAGGTTTTTTTGTTTTTGGATAAAATGATGGTTAAAGAAGTGTGAAAAACCAAAAAGACTCAAGGTTTTTTTTGGTTTTTCATTGCGCAGTCAAAAAGAAACTAAAGCCACAAACACCCAAAAACCAAAAAAACCTTGAGTTTTTTGTTTTTTCAAGGTCAAGACCAAAAAAAAAACCCTAGGCAAAACCAAAAAGAACCAAACATGAGCCTCAGACCAAACATTCTCTGAAAAGTTTTGTTTTTTGTTTTTTTGGTTTTCTCGAGGTTTTTTGTTTTTTTTGGGTTTTCCCTATGGATTCTCTCCCAAAGAGTCGTCAATTTTTTTGTTTCCAACTTGTTTTGATAGTGTGCACAGCTACTACCCACAAGACATCTTTAAAAATAACTGACTCTTATACATATATGCACATAAATATTATATATATATATATATACATGTAGAGACAATATATCAAAATGCTCTGAGGTAGATCTCAGGGGGGGGTACCATATATATATATATACATCTGTCTATATTTGTGACTATAACGGGTGGGGCATGTAGGGCGGTTACATATAAGTGTCCATTTAGGGTGTTGTTCTTTTTTATATCAAGGGAGTTGGATCATTTTTGATGGACTTTTGTTTTGATTGTTATTTAAGATCTACCCCAAGGAGACATAAAAGGAATGGAAAGTAAAGATTTAAATCCTACAGTGCCATGCGGTGCCCCCAAGTAATGTTTGTTGGAGTATAGTCTCATCCTGGACATATCTATCATAAACCCCTAATGAAATAGTCACGACACAAGGCAACTTAGCACAGATCTTAAAGCACCAATATGGTGTTATTACTATATGTGATGATATTCCCAGAAAAAACATGGCAGCTTGCTTAAAACCAACAAGCATTCACTAAACTAAGTCCGCAACAATATATGATGAAACCGTGTTAAACCAGCTAAAACCATGTTAAAACCAGCTAAAACCATGTTAAACCACCTAACATTTGTTGGTTAAACCCCCATCGATGTCTAGGTTTCGGATCCTTAAAAGCATCCCATTGGCCCCATGACCCCGAGGCGTGTGCCATGACAGAACCGGTCATCGTGGTGGGAGGCGGTCTAGCCGGGCTCTGCGCCAGCATTGAGGCGCGGCCGGGTGACGTCTGTTTTGGTTCATTTTTCTGCTGAAAAAAACATGAATTTCCTGGGTTAACCATGAAAAGATGGTGGTTTTAAGACAAAGGCTGGTTACCATGGGTTTTCGGATGTTGAAGCACACACATCGGGATTTGTTGAGGGTCTAGGATTGCTAAGTTGGGGATTTTGGTGTAGAATCAAATATTCAAGCGTTCAAGTTGCTTGAAGAAATGGCTATTTGATGGCTACTTAATGATGATCTATGAGGGCATCATGATCATGAATATTTCAGGAATCACAGATCGCTAAGTTGGTTTATAAGAAGCTTAACCGTTGGATGGAAGGACCTTAATGAAGATTTATGGAACATCATTGTGGTATTCATGTTTAGTATCTTTGTCATTCTATGTTTATTATTATTATTATTTGATTATTGTTGCTAGCTAATGAGGTTTAACCAGCTGGACCATTTGGTTGGCTCGTCGGCTAGTATATCTAGATCATGAAAGATCACCCGTGAAAATCACCCTGAGAAGTGCTCGCGGTTTTTTCTCGTTGAGTTAGGGGATAAAATGGGGGAGATGAAGGTTCCAAATTAATGTGGGTTTATACTATCCAATATATTTCGGAATTATTTATCAAAATTAATGTGGGTAAAGCCATGGTTAGTGGTGGAGAAGCAATGGTGAATAATGGTTGATTATAGTGATTATTGTTATGGTAAATCAAATTAATGTGGGTAAAACAATGCCATAAACCACCCATGACTGGGAATGGTAACAATACCAATTCTAAAAATGGTGATAACTGGGGGATGGTTTATGGCATTGTTTTACCAACATTACACCCAAATGGTGATGGATCAAAACCTCTTGTTACCATATGACTGGGGAAATCAACCTCCATTCACCAGCTAGAACTTAGGGTACCATCTGGATACCAGGGTTTTGGCCCATCACCAAATAATCCCTTAAGAGAGTTGCCCTTTGGTTATGACTAACAGTTCGCCATGGTATAGATGGCCCATAGAAATAGATGGTTTACCTGGGTTTACCTATTAATAGCATGGTGGATCTTTCCATGGCTAGTTACCATCTGTTTATTTAACATCGCCATGGAAAATCATGGAAAATCACCATTTTTAATAGGTAACCCATCTATAAATGGACCATTTTCCATGGCTATGTCAAATAATCAGACGCTAATTTCATGAGATTGAATCATCGATTGAATCATCAACGATCCAAAACCCCTGGACCCAAAAAATCCTGCAGAACTGAGTATAAGAACCATGAAGATACCTACGGTGGTGCCCCCTAAGTTGGCTTACAATTTGGTTAACTATGGTTTATGCTAGATATATGTGTAGTCAATAGGATTTATAACCGAACAATCATATATAATCACTGATATATTATGGACATCTCCAGTTTCTATCCATTTAGTTCGATGATGTTGCCATATGTTCTATACTAGATTATGATGATTACGGGCCTTATGAACCAGCATTCACATCACATTGGACCTTGGTCACCAGGCCGCAAAGAGGGGTGCCAATGTCACCATCATCGACAAGGACTACCTGTCCAGGGCGGGTAGCTGCGGGTAGCGGGGGCGTTGGCAGGGCTAAACCGCAGCAGCAGTGGATTAGTTTTTTCCATTTTGCTAAGTCTATTATCATCTATATGGATCTATATGGTTTATTTACCTGTATGTGTATGTATATATATATATATTGAATTATACTGGGATTTTGTATTTTGGTATTTTATTCAATCTTTCCACACTTGGACGGGAAAAAAGTCCGGTTAAGCGGCTCGCACTTCCTCCGCGGGCGCTCCGAACGGCAGCTCTGTGGTCAAAGTCATGTGGGTTTGGTTGGGGGTATATGGTTAGAGGGGCTTATAAACCAATTATATATAAATAAGATGTTACAGTTATGGTCCAACGAACAGTTATTAAACTGGGATTATTTCATGCAGAATAATATATAAGCAACTAATTATACAATTATAGGAGTTAGTTCATCCCATATATAACTGTTAAGGGCCGTAACTGTATAGTTGCTAGCTCTGGAAAACCAGCTTAAGTGGAATAGTTGCTAAATCATCCACCAACTTGGGACGATCAAAGGCTGGGAAAGTTCCGCGCTCAATGGAGGTTTTAATGAAAACATAATCTAAAGATGGTTGATGATTCTGGGTAAATTATTGTATATCATATTTCACTAGCCTGAAAAGTTCGGTGTTTATGGGATAGTTACCTTATACAATTCCCAGCATTCTAGTGAGGCCGCGTTGAGGCTGTTACAATTTATCCAGATTATTTAACAACGACAAACACTGTCGGTTCGCCATGGTTGACCGTGATCACCCAATGTGTACATCACCGGTCTCGTTCATAAGGGCTCCAGTGATTTAAGTCACAATTTATCTGATATACTGATATACACTATTCAACATGGTGATTTTCCATAGCAAAGTGTTAAACTCGCAGAGGCTAGTTGCTTCAGATGTCCCTTTCTACTTCAACTCCACCATTGCTTTGTGTTGGTTTGTAAAACCCACCATAAACCCAACACCCAAGCGTGAAATTGCACTGCCATAAGCCAACTTAGCCATCATAAACAGTTAAATCAACATTGAAAAATCCACATTTGAGTTGATTTTCACAGTTGAACACCCATTGTGTTTTGCAAAACCCAGATGATTTACCAGAATGATATAGGATTATAGGATTATAGAATGATATTTCCCATGACTTACCATCCTATAAACACCCATTTCATCCTATAATTTCCCCGTTTTTGTTCCCCCCTCAGGAGGCACAGCTGGGCGGAAACTCGGCCAAGGCCTCGTCCGGCATGAACGGTGCCAACACGGAGGCGCTGGACCTGCCGGACCTGTCTGTGGATGGTTGCGAAATCCTGCACCAGGTGAAAGTGATTTTTGTTGTGTTTGTAGTTTATATCCCATGATTTTTCTCAACCAGATACTCCCATTGTTAGGAAAAAAACATGATACAATGTGGTGCCCCACATTGGGAATCGCGTTCACTTGGTGCCAATAACTTCGAGAACTATGGTGGAAGAAATCCCGCATCCCCAAAGGGATGGTTGAAAGCCGCAGCCAAAATCATGGGATGTTTTTTTCCACATCTTAACTGGTGATGAACGGATTTCGCAACCATCCACAGTAGGTCACTGTGCTGTCAGGTCATTTGGCAACTTGGTTGAAAGTTTTGTGTATAAAAGTAGTTTTGTTTGGTGGATGTATCTAGATTGTTGGATGGGCGTATATTGGTAAGCCAACAACGCCTGCACTGCAACTACATTTGTTTTTTCCTGAAATTGGGTATACCAAAAAAAACAATGTAGTGGAAACATGATGATAAACCACTGGATTGTAGATGCCCTTAGTTTTGGAAAGAAAAATAATGAGTACATGTCGTTGGGAGATAGCACCGAGTGATTGTGTTAGCTCAAAGTCTCAAGATCTGAATTGTTGGTGGCAAAATAATCTACACATGGAAGTCAGGATGGGCAATCCAAAAAGTTAATGAGTTACTGAGTTGAAATTGAAGATTAGTAGCTGAACTGAAATCGATTGGTTCTTGCTGATATCAGCCTCATCAGTTTTAACCATACCTATTAAAGTCAACAGTATATTCAAATCAATAGTATCTTATACATAATCCTACAGCTTCCCACAAGATGAAGCCCCAAACAATACCTAGGTTGGTGCCAATAACCCATAACTATGGTTTATAGGCATGTACAGGGGATATTCATGATGGGGTTTGTAAACCAACAAACATGTCACCAGAAGGGGTAGCAACTTTCACTCAGTTGCTCTCATTCTGTTTTTTTGCTAGGATCCCGGGAATCCCGGAACCGTATTTTGGATGTTTGAAACCCCAAAGAGTTCAACATTCTGATGTGTCAAAACGTGTTGAAACTGAAAGAATTGTCGAATTTTGTCTCAGCATACCAAGCCTAGTGGATAGTTCGAGCCAAAATCTTGATATATATATATATATATGTATATATAATATATTATACCTAGCTAGACCCTCCAAATACAAAAAAATGTAGAAAAACTAGTTCAGTGTGGAATGAAACACAAATTTATGGGTACAAACAGAGGCCCAGAAAGCTTCCGGCATTGACGATTCCGTGGAGAAGTTCGTGGAGGCGCCGGCACGCCGTTGTGGACCCCTGGATGCGTGAGAAAACATCTTTGTATACCTGGATGGAACTGGGGATTTTTTTGAACATTTTGGAAAGAACAGTTAAAATGAGTAGAATTGGGTAGACAATTACCCTCTGGTAAACAAACATAGCTATGGAAAATCACAAACTTTAGTGGGTAAATCACTTATTAATGGTCATGTTCAATAGCTTTTTGTATGCTTACCAGAGGGTTTATAGGTAGCAGTAGTCATCTTATGTAGTGTTGTGTAGTATAGTGCAATCTAAATAATTAAATAATTGTAGTTGTAGTTGTAGTGGTTGATATATGTTTATTGTAAATATTGTAGTAGTGGTAGTTGTTGTAGTTGTAGCAGTTATAGTAGTTGTAGTAGTTATAGCAGTTATAGTTGTAATGTAGTGTAGGTGTAGGTATAATGTAGTGTAGTTGTAGTGGTAGGGGTAGTGGTAGTGTAGTATAGTTGCAGCTATAGTTGTAGTCGTAATGCAATGTAGTTTAATATTTATTGTAATGTTTATTGTAACGTTTATTTTCCCATCATTTTCCACGTGTTTTCTGTGTTTTCCCACGTTTTCCACGTGTTTTTTCCGTTGTTTTCCCCCACCCCTACCGTGGCTACCGTGGCTACCGTGGCGTTCCCAGCGACACGACGCCGGAGGACACCCTGAGCTCCGGCGACGGCCTGGCCTCGCCGGAGCTGGTGACGGTGCTGGCAGAGCAGAGTGCTGAGACACACCAGTGGCTGAAGTCTTTGGGCGCCTCGGTGATGGCTTCATGGTAGGTTGATGGCCTAATCCCATAGATTTATGCTACTAGGGTTACGACTGGGGTATGTATAATCCCATAGAAATAACATGATTTATGGTTGATGGCCTAATCCCATAGATTTATGCTACTCGGGGTATGTTTTTAATATTGTATAATATATAGAAATAACCATAAGCCGCCCATGACTTGGAATGGGTTCAATCCCTATAACAATGATGATTTCTGGGGGATGGTTAAGTTTATGGCATTCTTTTACCCATGTTAATGCAAACTATGAAATTACCAGAGCTGGTTGGTGGTTTCGAACATGAATTTTATGACTTTCCATTCAGTTGGGAATGTCATAATCCCAACTGACGAACTCATATTTTTTAGAGGGGTTGAAACCACCAACCAGTTATAATAGTGATTATACAAGGTGGTGCCCCTCCAGTGATGTTTGTTGGTTTATAATCCCATTAACTATAGATATATCTACCATAAACCATAATAACGGGTTGATAATAATGGTTGATGATGGTTGATAATAATGAATAATAATTTTATAATCATGTTTAATAACAAGAATAAAAATAGTGATGGTTAATGGTTTTAGTGGCTTAAATTTGGGTTGAGCCCTAATTGATCATAATGTGTCTAACCATTACTAACCAATGGTTATATAATAATGGTTATTTAATAATGGTTAATAATGGTTACTAATGGTGGTGTAGTATTATGTATTATTGGGTGTAAAGGTTTGTAAAGGTTGGTTATAATTGATCATATTTACTGCTTTTAATTAATTATTAATTATTGTTGTTTAATAATGGTCATTAATGGTTAGTATTTAATTATATTGGTTGATCATAATGTAAAAAGCACCAGAAAGCTTAAATCATTATTGTATTACATTATAAGTGGTCATAACCGTGATTGATCATGGTTATATAATGGGTTATATAATCATAATGTTAATCATAATTATGATCAATATGGTAATGATATGTTTAATTATAGCGGTTATTTAAACATGTGGTTATATAATGATGATTCACAATGGTTCATAATGATCATAAAACTTTAATGGTTCTAATAATGGTTATGATTAATGTAATTATATTTATGTTCATCATGATTGAACCATAATTTATCGTGGTGATGATTGGTTACAGGATGAGCCCCCTAGTTATGTTTGTTGGTTTATAACCACCATTAAGTATAGTTATTTATGGTTATATCATTTTATATTTACCATAAACCATAGAATTCAGCCACGTATATCATATCTCAACTTCTATCGGTGGGGGGGCCATCCTCTAGTAATGGTTGATCATATTTTTTCATGGTGATAGTTAATGTTTAAATAATAATACAAATGCATAATACTACATCAAACATTCAACCATTAATAGTTTGTTGATAATTGTAGTTGATATTTACTTATATTGGTTGATGATGGTTGATAATCGTGAATCATAATGGTTGATAATGATGAATAATGGTTGGTAATTGGCTGTTCTTATGAATAATGGTGGCTTAACCATGGATTAATTTTGAGTTGATTATGGTTAATACTGGTTGATAATGGTGATCTAGTATATTTTTTTATTATTGGGGAATGATGGTTCATGCCCCTTGGTAATTTAACAGAGCTATTCAACACACACCATTTATAGTTGATGTACCTACATATTCAAATGTTTAAGTATTATACTGTATATGATGTACTTTATTGTCACATATAGTACTAGATGAGTAGTATATATAATATCATGATCATTACGATGTATATATATATATTTTTTTATGTGTGTTCATACTGGTTGATAATGATTAATAGTGGCTATAACAATGCTTAATGGTAATTGATGATGGTTGATAATGGTGATGTAGTATAATGGGATACATAATATTCATACATAGTCAACCATAATAGCATACATGCATTTTTATAACTTGGGTGATGTACTTATAAATCAACATATGTACATACATGATGCCGTCTCCCAGGTATCTTGGGATTGACTTTTCTATGTGTTTGATGTTTATACCAATGTTAACAGCCTACTCATGTTAAATCTCATAGTCGAAGCACTCATGTTAACACGCATTCATTTATAACTGGGATTATTTCATGACATATAACCAACTAGATATAGGAGTAATTCCATCCGATTTATAACTGTTAAGGGCCATAACTGTGCTAAGCTGTTGAGAAAGCCAGTATCGTAAGTGGTGAACTATGGTAAAAATCAAGGGAATATAATTAATGTGATATAGATTTTATAACTAAAAACTTAGTGAGGCTTAGATGAAACTATAACTGTAGTTGTTTATACAAGCTGATCATGTTTGACGCAATTAACCACTTTACTAATGTTAACCATGACTAATATCTTTGGTTATCCGAATGGTTGGTTAAGACTATATTCTTGCTACACCATAGGTTTAGGTGGTTTTGTAATGGATGTGAAGAGTTGAATATCATTTGATATAGTTTAGCAGCTTAATATACCCCTCATGTTCTGTTATCTTTAGTGGCTCACAGAAAGATGATACTGTATAACTCATGGGGTCATGGGATAACAATGGGATATGACTTAACCACAGTTATAGAGACTGACAATGGGATATTCAACAGATTATCACGAGTTAATAGTTAACTATGCTTTCTCGGGATATGACTGCAGTTCATAGGGTGTATAATGGTGCGTTGGTTTATAAGGGGAGTAATAAAACATGTTCATACAACCCATTAGAATTATGATATATCTTATATCTACACAGCCTACTCAGCCTACGATATGTAGTTAAAGGGTTTGATAATGCGATATCATACTTTGAGGATCACCCCACTTAATAACCGGATAATAAGCAGTTTGTTACCCTGGTTAGGCAAAATGGATGATTCTGGAAGCAAATGGTTGGTAGCAGAGTTGTGACCCCCTCTGGCGGAGACTGGTTCGCCATACGCTTGGATTTTTGAATATGTTCTTGGTGAAATCGATGGATTAACCACAAATCCCACCCAAAGTAAATGGATTAATTTATGAACCACTTCCTAGACGCGAGTGTTTCTTTTCAGCATCATCCATGCGCGGCGCTTTGTGTCCCGAGGTTTGCACTTAAGCGACGTGGTGCAGCTGGGTGGTCACAGCACCAAGCGTCACTTGGCAGGGCGGTTGCCACCCTGGCCATCTGAAAAGTGGTGGAGACGTGGAACGTGGGTAATGTCAATCCAGGGTTAATAGACCCTAAGGTGTTCATCATGTGGATGGGCAAAAAAACATCTTACTAAATTACCAAATTTCAGTACACCCAAAGGGGGTATGATTTTTTGTCGTCCGTGCAAGGTGGTGCCCCCTAAAACGCTTGCTAAGTTGGTGCCAATAACACAACTAGGATTTGTGGTAGGGATACCATATTACAGAACCCAGTTACGTCTACAATATGATGCATCAGAAACCTATCAACTGCGGGCCCTTCTTGTACATCTACTGGAAAATGCAGGCTGAAAGACGGCAAATTCTTCGTGAATTACTGCTAAAACTAGATGGTGAAAGCCATCAACATGACTAGCATTTGAATTCTAAACACGCAAAGCAATCATGACTGCCTCAACTGTCGCCACAGTTGATTCATGATGTGTTTGTCCAAGGATGAAACATGGGAAACCATCATGATTTACTGGCATACGAACCAGGAAATAATTCCTTTCCTCCAATATAAAATACCTGGTTGGTGGTTTCGAACATGGCTTTTATGACTTTCCATGTTTTGGGAACGTCATAATCCCAACTGACGAACTCATAATTTTTAGAGGGGTTGAAACCACCAAGCAGTTATTTAACCACAAGAAAACCGTGGTGAACTTTGGTGACATGGCTTGGATCTGTGAATTGGGGTTCTCCAACTACAGTAGGGTGTTTCTCCAGATTGGGACATAGGAGAATTTCATGTTTTTGTCCAGGTAAATGACCACTTTGTTATATCACCATGCTTCCAAAAAAATGGGATTGAAGTATGAAAAAAACTCGTGGATATTCAGAATATCAAAACACTCAGCAATTGAACATTGCTGCCTGGAAAGCCACTATGTTCAATATCAAAATCATCAAGCAATATCTATACCATCAGGTACTTTGCAATAGAAAGCTATGCAAAGATCAGAATTCTAGATCATTTTCCTTGGGAAACCCAGGAATTTCCATATACCGGAGGGATCCGGAGGGTAAGTGGTGAAGGGGTTGATTGCTATGCATTGCCAGGTTGATTTGCTGAGGCAATGTTGCTCCAAATCAAAAACATAGAAAATACATGAAAATACCATCGATTTTTTGGGTGCAATTCAACTAGCAAAAAATAGAAAGAACTAGAGAAACTATGTGCCTCTTAAACTTCCTGCCATCCCCGAGATGTAACCATTGCCATAGCAAGCCATATAGCAACCCCGAAGTCTCAGCAAGACCGGAGCCCTCGGAGACCCCTTTTTTCGCTCGTCGCTGAGGTACCCATCGCTTTCCCGCCACAGCGGAGGGAAAACCACAACCCGTTGGATGGACCTTAGTGAGTGGCCTCAGGCCTGGTTTCATTGGCCAACAGGAACCGATTGATTGGAGCTACCTACCATATAAATCCATATATTTCTGGCCGAAAAAAAAAGGCTAAATTTTTCCGGGAATATCCCAGCAAAATATGGCCAGAAATACGGTACAGTACCTCTATTTTAGGATCCTGAAGATCTCCCATTGATGGTTCTTCCTGATCTACCGGAATAGGATTACCGACTGGATGAGTGGAAATCCTCCAGGTCTTGTTTGCTGTAGATATGGAAAATATCAGAAAATCAACAGCAAAATAGTAGTTTTAATATATGTGGACTATCGAAGATTGACCTTCATTGTTGGATATAATGTGGGATCCCAATGCTATAGTCACAATCCCCACCATCCCCACCATCCCCACCATCCCCGCCATCCCCACCATCCCCACCTTCCCCACCTCCCCACCATCCCCACCATCCTATCCTTTGACCAAGACTGTGGGTCATGATAGACTTCCATTTCTAGGGCCTGAACTTCTAGGTTTTTTTGTTGAATCCTGGGATTGCCACCCACTGTGTCCCAAACCCACCAGCTAACCACTGCAATTGGAAGATTTGATATAACGTAACAGTGAAACAATGCAGCGATAGGTCTGGTGAAATTTTGAAATTGACATAGACTTAGTCAGTCTACTTATTTCATATGAAACAGTCAGCAAGCTTGGCAGGTCCCTGAATATCTGAAGTTTGGAGACATACAGAGATGGTGTGTTGGGGTCCAAATCATCCATGGCTATGTGACCAGAGTGTGACCATGCCGATAGTGCCTTTTTGTGTGACAGATTATCCCCGATCCGCGCCCAATGTTTTGGTGCCCAAGAATCATTGAAAATAGTCACGCACAAATGCTATGTGTATGGCAACACAGAAGGTGTCCCGAAACAATTGGGGTCATGATTTGGTTGTATACAGTGTGGGTCCCCCTAGTTGTAAATTTTAAAATTTGTTTATAAACCCCATTAACTATAGATATATCTACAATAAACCACAGTAGTTATTGAAATTATAAACAAACTTAGCTAACGAACTGGGGCACCACATTGTAGCTATCATCAGAAAGTTTACGCTCTGCTCAACTATTTCACCCCATGGATCCAGCGGTACCGTGTGAGGCAGTATTTGGGCCTTCTCAGAAACGATTCGGAACCATAGGGTCAATAAATTTAATATTTAGTTGTGTAGTTCTCATGCGTTATCACCATTACATTATGGATCTGCTTAATCATTTCAACTAAACTCTGGTAATCAAAAGTGGCCATGGAAAATCACCAAATTAAATGGATGTTCATAGCGGGGAACATCACATATATAAATAATATAGATAATTGGCCATGTTCATCAATTTGTCCATTGCCATGTTTGCTTGTCAGAAGGCAACCAACCGTATGATTGTACAAGCAGTGACATGCGCATTCTGTTCTCAACACTGCTGGTCGGCTCACCATGATTGACCGTGATCACCCAATGAATCAGGTGTCTCGTTCATTAACTCCATATGGTCCATATGTTTAGTGAAGATCTTCAATTTACCTTCTCGTTTTTGAGCATGATGTATCCATTAATATTGCTTTGGATCCCAGGGGACGCGAAGTCTACGCCCAAGCTGGGCAAGGGAAAGGAGGCTTTCAGGAAGAGGAAAGAAAGGAAAGAAAGGAAAGGGAATTGTTTTCATTATTTTCCACATCAAACTAATGTGGGTAAAGCAATAATAAGCCGCCCATTTGGGAATGGTTTCTATCCCTATAAAAAATGATGATTTATGGGGGATGGTATGGCATTCTTTTACCCACATTACTAGGAAATTCTATTGTATTCCTCCAATTTATGGCCAACACTCAACCCATTCCTCCACCATTAACCAAGATTTACATCCGAAATTACCAGAGGCTAGTTACAGAAGTCACTGTCTGCAGGAAAGTCTTGGAGACTGAGCTCAAGGAGTTGGTCAAGGCTCGCACCAAGTCCAGCTTTAAGGACGGCCCTTCATCGCTGGGGGAATGCGATGGAAGATTCATGGGAAATCCACACGGCCACTTTTCAGAGATATCCAACCTGATATCCAACCCCAAGATAGCCAAGTTGAGATATACATGGCTTAACTACGGTTTATGGTAAACATAACTATAGAAAACAATCACTATACTTAATGGGCGTTATGAACCAACTTATAACTGAGGGGGCCCCATCCTGTATAACCATATGTATATTATTAATATTATAAATGTATACATAGTCCATATATAACCCTAAAAATCACCCAGTCATCTAGCTAAATATACCAGCACCATGGTTCGCATCTGGGTTAGATTTCCCCCTTTTCTGGTTGGTGGTTTGGAACATGTTTGATTTTCCCATATATTGGGAATCATCATTCCAACTGACTCATATTTTTCAGAGGGGTAGGTCAACCACCAACCAGTAGATATTCACCATCATTAACCATCATTAACCATCATTAAATCACCATTAAATCACCATTAATCACCATTAATCAGGAGCTGCTCTTGGAAGAGGGCCGCGTGGCGGGTCTTCGCTTCGTGGCCGAGGGCATCGAGGAAGAGCTGCGGGGAACCGTTGTGTTGACATCTGGAGGCGGGGCCCCAGCCCCAAAAAGATGGGGCCGGGAGAGCTTTGAAAATCCGGTGAAAAATGTTGGTATAATATGGTATATATAGTATATATATATAGTGTATATATATATAGTATATATAGTATATATATAGTATATATATAGTATATATATATTATATATATATAGTATATATATAGTATATATATATAGTATATATATATATATTATAGTATATATATATATAGTATATATATAGTATATATATAGTATATATATATAGTATATATAGTATATATATATATATATATAGTAAATATAGTATATATATAGTATATATATAGTATATATATAGTATATATATAGTATATATATAGTATATATATAGTATATATATAGTATATATATAGTGTATATATATAGTATCTATATATAGTGTATATATATATATAGCATATATATATATAGTAAATATAGTATATATATATATATAGTAAATATAAAGTGTATATATAGTATAGTATATATATAGTTTATATATATAGTAAATATATAGTGTATATATGTATATATTGTATATATATAGTATATATTTATATAGTATATATATATATAGTAAGTATATATATATATATAGTATTTTATATAGCTGTAAGAAAGATGAGAAGGTTTCTATACTATAGGTGTTTCTAGGTAATTTTGATACGCTTCAAAAGCTTTTAGAATAAGAACATCTAATGGACCATTGTTGATTTAACCACTGGAAATATGTTCCAACCAACCAGAATGACGGCTATAATGGGGGCTTTATGGTGGATAGAAGTGATTTAGCTAAGATTTGGTGAAGGATATAGGCTGTGGGCATTGATCCGTGTGGGTTATTGATGGTCAATGTTGGAACCATTCATTCTACGTATAAACCATCCTCCCCAAATCTATCCGCCAGAAAATGGGGCTAAATTATTCAGTATTCACCATGGTTTTTTGGGTCTACATCTTTTGGGTACCCAATGACTTTTTTTATTTCACTAATCATCATATCTGGGATTCCACTGGTGGAGATGGTGAAACGAATCGTCAAACCATCTCCATCATCTCCAATCCAATGTCCAACTACTTCAGATATCTTCAGATGGAGGTTTCCTGAAATGCGGGATCCCCCAAATGGATGGTTTATAAGGGGAAATCCTATGTGTGTTTTTAAGGAAATCCCCAGATGAATAGAAATCGTACAGATTGAAATCTTGCCGTTGTTTCTTTGTAATACCAACTGCAGTGATTTATTTATAACCCACATTTCAATTCTGTAAGTCAAAAAACATCATATGTTTTGAACAAAAATCGTTTGTATGTAGAACTTGAGTTATCTTCCAGCATGCGATGGTGCTGACTCGCTGACCAAGGATGTGGGGATAGGGGATAAGCCAAGGTGGGTGAAAATGCTTCGAACAGCGGTCGAAGCATATTAAACCCCAATCTATGAGAATTGAAAACAAACCATTTGCTGATTATACACACCATATGAATTGAATATATACATATATATACATATATATATGTACGTATATACAATTAATATCCAAGTTATTGCATATATGAATATCATAAATATCTACATAAATCAAACATATATCACATCTAAGGCAAATCTAAATCATATATTGTATTCCTACAGGTAAAGCCATTTACATTACATAAATGGGGTGACTTACTGAGTTAAGTCTGATTTAGGGCCAAAACTATGGACACAATCAGCCTTATCTAAACTCATGTAGAGTTCTACTGGATGCAGAGTTAGTACTAAACTATTCTAGAGTTATGGCCCTTAATTAATTGACAGTTATAACTATAGGATGAACTAACTCCTTCAACTAAGGTTATATATCATGAAATACTCCCAGTTTAATAACTGTTAGGCCAGGGCCATAACTGTTTTTTTTTATCCCCACGGAAATCCACATTTTTTCTTGGTTGAGTCATTATTTCCCCATGGTTTTCCCACGTTTTTCCTATGGTCCCAGAATTCGTCCCCGCTGCGTTCGGCGTTCGCGGCACCAGGCTACGCCAACGACCACGCGGAGGCCTCGCTGCTGGAGAAACACGCGCCACAGCTGGCGAAACTGCCCACCACCAACGGACCCTTCGCCACGGGAGATGCTTGGCGTGGTTGCGACCCCGGGGTGGTTGGGTGGTTGATGAGTTCTGTTTTAATACGGTGTACCCTTTTGACCATGAAAATTAAGGGATAGGTGTGGAATATGATTGATGAGTTAGTGGTGTTTAGTGGGGTTTAACCTTGAACATATGCGGATATGAGCGGATATATGTATGTGACTAAAAGTAGTAAATTGTTGTTGGTTGATAACGAGTTAATGTGGGAAACGTGATGCCATAAACCTATTGTACCAGTTGTGGATGGATTCAATCCCACCCATAGAGATGGTGATAACTTGGGGATGGTTTATGGCATTGCGTTTACCACATTAGTTTTTTGTTTTAATGGGGGTTCAACCAGCAATATATGCAGATATAAGTGGATAGAAGTGATAAATGATGGCTACATGATGATGGTTGATGATAGTTTAAACATGAAACGATGATGGTAAGTGGATAAGTGATGGTGAGTTTGTCATCTAATATACCCTCTGTTAAACTAACATAACTATGGAAAATCACAATTATTAATGGGTAACTACAAATGACAATTTTCCATGGCTATGTTCGTAACCAGAGGGTATATTTTAAACATCGGCATGGGAATTTAAGTGATGAAATAGCTGATAAATGATGGCTGATTGAAAATCATTAATCATTGATGATTAGCTCGGGGCTTATACGAACCAATATCTTGAGTCATTGTCTATAATCCCTTCGGTAACTCCTATTGGCCCATCAGTGTGACGACAGAGGGTTGTGATTTGAAACCGACCAATGGAAGTGGAAATCCACAACCTTCAACCAACACATGGCTTTGTATAACTATAGTACTACATACTGTGGATGATTGCGAAATGCTGCACCACCAAAAGGATGGTTTTTCAACCCTATAAATAATGGGATGTTGACCATCTATCAACTGGTGATTCGGATTTCGCTGGCCCATCCACGGTATATCTACCATTTTTGGATTGTTCTTCGCATCCATTATATACCTCAATGGCCATGCAACAGGAACCGATTGATTGGAGGTACCTACTATATGTTTCAGGCCTATTTTTCAGGCCAGGCCGTTTCAGGGAAACTCTCATATATTCCCCAGCTATAAATCTTACTGGTGCGTTTTATGTAGGGAATGAGGGCATGATCCATAAATATCCATAATAACTATCAATAATCATCCCAGCACCCCCAGCAACCTCCAGCAACCCATCCATGTCCACTGAGGACATTATCAAGGCCTTAGTGAAGCAGGACTCGGATCCACGGATTTTTCCACATGGAACTGGAGAAATCTGAGAAAAGCCGATAGGAAAACCACAGGGAAATGGAGATTTAACCCAGAAAAATGAGGATTGAATGGGATTTATAGCTGATTTATGATCGTTAAGTTTGTTTACATCCCAAAAAGAACTAGGGTTTATGGGAATATAACATGATATAATAACTATAATCTAGTGAGCTATGTAGATGAATTTAACCTATAATCTGGATGGCACCACTTTGAATGAGTAGAAGCTATAGATTTTTCCGTCCGAGGTTTACAGTAGGGCTTGGGATGAAGCACCATGTAAAAGTAAGAACTGACCCTCAAGTTCACCCATGAATATGGGGACAAAAATCCCAGATTTATGGGGTAAGTACCAGTTTCCATGCGTCAATTGAAGACATTGAAGGTCTACATGTGAAGTACAAGCGAGGCATGTCCATGCATGGATGGCGTCAGGATTCGAGAATTGCCAATTGTTATCGTCTTCATTTTGGTGTACCTGAAGAGCAAGAACTTGAGCCGCATCAGACTGAGACACCTCCTCAGGAGCATCAGGATCACGAGACTACGGCTGCGGATGACACCTCAGCCGAGGCACACCCACCGCAGCAAACACCAGCTGGCGTATCTCTTGCATGATATCCTCGCTCAAGACTCTGAGTTCAACGCCCCAGTCCTGGAAGCCCTTCAAAGTGCTGCTGACTCAGGCTCATCGTCCACTGGGTGGTGATCACTCGAAATAGCTTTTTTTGGAATAATCAACAGCCAACGCCCAGTTTGATGGTTATGACCCCTATATCCCCTAAAATAATGATACTTAAACCACAATAAAATCCTATACTGCGATGAGATTATACATCATGAGGTCTTCCAAATTCTTTGTTGAATAAGCTAAGCCTCAATTAAAGTCTAACTTTATTTTGCTCTAAAAGTATAGATTAATGAATAACCGCGTTTTTCTTTGAAAGATGTTGGCATTACATCTTCTTATTAATTGAGATAGAACCATTATTAGTATAGTTAAAACATGTTACTTGGTGGTTCATCCCACGAATCCCAAGTAGGATATATCCTTGTTTATAGGTGGGATAAGAAGGGTTAACCCACTTACAACTGAAATTATAACCCACTTACGAGGTGGAATGAACCACCAAGTAAAACTCCAACAAAAGATGCTGGCGCTGTCAGGACGTGGGAGTCCAAACCACCTTGATGGACAAAGTGCAAATCCATCCGACAGGCGGCACACCCGGGCGCGACCCGGGCAGCGGAGAAAGCACCGGTTGCAGGGCCCGAAAAAACACATAGGTGTTTCGTATGGTTTAACTATGGTTTTAATTTATGATAGATATTAGATATAGTTCATGGATGTGAATGGGGGTTATAAACCAACAAACATAACTGGGGGGCACCATCCTGTAGGGGTAACTGTCCCGAAATAGCCTTATTTCAGGCCAACGAATCATTGTCATTCACCCAGGTATATAGGTTCCTGTTGGTAAGAAACAACCAGGTTTAGTATGGTTTATCACCACATGGGTATATGTGGGTCACAATTTATGATGCACATGGGACCACAGATGGGCTGGTTACTTTTCAGTTTTAACCATCAATGTTTGTTGGTGGCCAATTTTGACCCATATGGCGCAGAGAAGGAGGAGGAATTGTCGTTTGGTGATACTTAGTTTTGATTGCAGCTCGATGTTGAAAAGAACCTATCACAGAAACAATGTTCAAACAGCACCACAAGAACCTTCGTTCTGTTGAGGGGAGTTTCCTGAGTTCTAGTTTCTTCCGTCAAAGTTGGATGCGTTTTTTCATTTTGAGGGGATGCTCCTCACCCGGTACTAAAGTTTCTTACAAAAATTACCGCAGGAAAATCCGTTTACCATCCTTCAGCATCTAATCCTTCAGGTGAGGTATAGCCGAATGATGCCGAATGACTATCTTTCACTCGGGTTCATGCAGGGACGACCCCCCACAGTTGGGTTTTCATTTTTTTCCATATATACATGATAGTAGCCCCCCCAAAAAATAGAAATGGTTCAATTCAATATTGTAGCAACAATTTTCTTTTTTTCTGGAGGTTTCCTTGTCTAAAAAACAAGGTATCGGCCCCAAGTTCCCGGCTGTCAGGTTTCATCGAAGTGAAACAACCCAACTTCCACACCAAATTCCTCGCACCCGAAGCCCTGAGAGGCGAGCGGCCAGGGAGTGTTTGTGTGAGCCGAGGTTTGCAACAAAATCTGTGGATTATAATGGTTTATATTGAAAAGTCATGGGCGGAAAACAATTGAGGATTTTGGTCGTGGCATGGTTCCAACCCCTTTTGGAATGTTTTTATGTAGGCTCGGATTGGGTGGGTTCCACTCGCGGCGTAACTTCCCAGGGCACCTTGCCACGGTACCTTCGGGTACCTTGCAGTACCTGTACCTTCATTTATCCAAAATTTGAGGATGGATCGAAACTTGCTACCCCATATTTGGATGTATTTGGATTTTGGGTGGGATAAACATCCGTAAATTCCAGCATGTCACCATTGAAAAACCCTTCAGACGAGTGCTGAGAGAAGAAACAAATATATAACCATCACACAGGAGGCAAATGTATCGCGCACTTGTTGCAAAGACTTGGCTAAGTACTTTGAAGCGCATTCCGAGACGGTCGAGATTGAAGAACTTCTGGGCATCATTAGTTCTGCAAACCTGACGCGCTTATCTGCGCAATTTAGAGGGAGCCCAGACGAGGTACGAGGTCGATATAGCAAATTAACGCAGCGATTTAGCTAATCCACGCCCCCACACGGTTTCCGGGTTTTCGCTTATGTGGACGATGGACATTTTTTTTTCAGAGGCTGAACAGTTTTTCTAGTTGATTGGTCGCAATTGCAATGTTTCTATCTGACCAAAGGGTAACTGCCAAGTTCTGGCCACCGCACCGGAGGTTCTGGAGGCATCTTGTTGTGCCACGGGAAGCGCTTTGCGAATGAGCTCGGGAGGAGCCGTTGGGACGCTGGGGGGGCTTTGTCAAAACAAACGGTGGGGGATTTTACCTTCCAAAGATGAGGGTTTTGAACCACAAATGTGAGTTAATCAAAAAAAATGGACTTAGCAAACAAAAAGATGACTGTGACAGCGACGTTCTTGGATTTAGATAGCTGACATGCTTTTGATTGTTTACTCCGAATAGCCGGCAACCATGGGGATCTAGCCTAGCAAATTTTGGATGATCAATCAGAAATTGAAATTGTTGGGGATGCTTTGCTGGGTTTAACTTACCAATAATAGATAGACCGGACCCGCATAGACCATATATATATAACTATGAATGAACAATATAATACAATATAACAATATCATTGATTGCTACTGGGTGAACTAATCCTTTCGCCTCAATATTCAATACACCCAGATGCGACTCGGATGCTTGAATAGATCCACTACTAAAACAGAGGGGTCTACTTGGTGGCTCATTCCACTGAGTAAGTAGGTTAGTTCATATGTTAGTTCACCCTAGCTGTAGGCGGATTAACCCTACTATCCCACTAAAATAATTTGGGTTATAAGCAACAACAGTTGACTTGGGATGGAGCCAACACCACAATCACCTAGGAATGAAATATGAAGTGGGGAAGATTCTAATGGGCATGGTGGTTCAGTTATAGCCCAAAAAACAGTTTTGTAACTGGGTTTATTTTATGATATAATTATAACCTTAGTTATAAGAGTCTAAGAGTTATTTCATCCCATTTATGACTGTTAAGGGCCATAACTGTTTTCAACCTTGGATGCGTTCCATCCCCCCAAAAAAAGCGATTATAATATGCGTGGACTTCCGTGGATTTGTGATGATCTACATCTCCACGGAGAATCTACATATCTATACCTAGATCCATAAATAAAATTGGTGAATGTACCATGTTTTGGCCAAAATAAAATCGGTGCTGTATTACACCCAATTTTATGGGTCAGTTGAAGGTTTAGCTACCCATATGTTGCAGTTGTTCTTTGCCTGGAAGTTGTTTTAGCCCTCCGCAATGCACCCAAGCGTTGCACAGGAGAGATTACCTTACCGACGAAATGTTCAAACACTGCAAACCGCTGTTTGACAAGGACAAGCAGCTCGGGGTAGTTCTCTGTGAATGTTACCTAGTTCTGTTGGTTGTATCTGAAGATCATCCCCAGCTTTTGTTGGTTTTCCATGTGGTTTCCCAACCACTGGGGCTTTTTTTAAGCGTTCTTCTGGTGGTGCGGGACCCAGGAATTTTCCATGTGGATTTTTTGTTGGTCCAATTTTTCCATCCAACTGGTCGAAAACCAATAGGGCTCTGACTCTCCAGTGGTTAGGAGGAAGCTAAGATAAGCTAAGCAGCTATGAGCATAGAAATATTCCCGTAATAAAATGGTGAGCAAAAAGGAGCTTTAAAAATGAGTTTCCCAACCACATGCTAGATAAGCGGCTAGAACCGCTGTGTTTGTTGTATACCAGTTTCTTTGTTGGAATATCCCCAGCTATAGTTATGATAGATTACCATCATCGAAGGAAGTTTTGAAGTCTAGCTTCGGACAATATGGACAGATGAGGAATAAAGAAGATCAGAGAAAAGAACGAGTCAGATCTGGTTAAATCAGAGATCAAAACTTGTACGCTGTTGTGGCGCGAAGCAGAGTTTGAAGTCAAAATGCTAAAAGCACCGCGGGTTCAATAAACACTGCATGTTCGGACCTGTTCTGGATAGGCAGACGGACAGACAGACAGACAGACAGACAGATAGGTAGAGACAGAGAGACAGAGAGAGGGAGATGGAGAGACAGAAAAGGAGAGAGACACAGAGATTGGGAGAAATTAACAGAGAGAGAGGGAGAGAGATACACACACATGCATAGAGAAAAAGACAAGGACAGAGACAGGCACAGAGAGAGAGAGAGAGATATATAGATATAGATATAGATATAGATATAGATATAGATATAGATAGATAGATAGATAGACAGACAGACAGACAGATAGATACATAGATACATAGATACATAGATAGATAGATAGATAGATGGATGGATGGATGGATAGATGGATAGATGGATAGATGGATAGATGGATAGATGGATAGATGGATAGATGGATAGATGGATAGATGGATAGATGGATAGATAGATAGATAGATGGATAGGTGGATAGATAGATGGATAGATGGATAGATAGAGATAGATAGAGATAGATAGATAGATAGATAGATAAATAGATGGATAGATGGATAGATGGATAGATGGATAGGTAGATAGGTAGATAGGTAGATAGGTAGATAGATAGATAGACAGATAGATAGATAGGAAAGATAGGATCGATAGGATAGATAGGATCGATAGGATAGATAGGATAGATAGGATCGATAGGATAGAAAGGACAGAAAGATAGATCGATAGATAGATCGGTAGGTAGATAGATAGATAGATAGATAGACAGGTAGGTAGGTAGGTATATAGATAGATAGGTAGGTAGATAGATAGATAGATACATAGATAGATAGATAGATAGGTAGATAGATAGATAGATAGACAGGTAGGTAGATAGATAGATAGATAGACAGGTAGGTAGACAGACAGATAGATAGATAGATAGATGGATTGATGGATAGGTAGATAGGTAGATAGGTAGATAGGTAGATAGGTAGATAGGTGGATAGGTAGATAGATAGATAGGTAGATAGATAGATAGACAGACAGGTAGGTAGGTAGGTAGATAGAGAGATAGATAGACAGGTAGGTAGACAGACAGACAGATAGATAGATAGATAGACAGATAGCTAGATAGATAACTAATTGAATACAAATTGGGCTTTTTTGGTGGGCTCGCCCCCATTTCTCCTATTTTTTCTTGTTTCACGGTAATTAAGGTTTATGTCACTAAAAAGATGCCGGGTTACATGTTCTCTCTGTTTCGAACCGTTCTATCTATCTCCTGGTTGATATAAAACAGACCACTTCTTGGGGATTGCAACCTCTTCTTACACCCCCTGGCCGGGTGTCGCAGCAGGAAGAGAACCCCTTGGCCGCAGCCATGCTGTTGACGGAGGAGGCGGTGGAAAAGTTTCTTGACGGAGATGCCATGGAGGTTACTCTCGGGGCTGTTGCTATGATCTAAAGGGTGCTCGGGAGGGCGCAAGCGTGACAGAGCTATTGAACATAGCATAGCCACTGATAGTTGACTTACTGTACCAAACTTAGAAATGGTGATTGTTCATAGCTATGTTAGCGTGGTGCAGCTTCATGTCAGACCAGTCCGTCCTTGTGGTTTGCCAAAGCAGTCAAAGCCGAACAGTTTGACGATGAAGACTGTGAGGAAGCGGATGAGGCTGCAGATGTCAAGATCTCTGCGGTATTCTCTCTTCCCATGTTGCCTGCAATGGCCGCCTTTTCCGAAGCTTTCCAAGCCAAAGAGGCAAAGAGACGTGTAGGATTCGGTGCCCACTGCCCTTGCTGCGCAAATCAGCAACCGCCTTGAGGGTAGCACGATGTCAGTGCAATACCACAAAGCTGAAGTCAGCTACCATGGCCAACACGTCCTGGTGGCCCAAGGCTGCCGGTCATTCAGACCAGAGGCACAAAATCATCACGGGGGCGAAATGGTTGCCAAAATTTATTTCGGGACACACAAGCCAACCACTGGGCTTCCTACAATTTGGTTTGCTTTGTCTACCGGACTGCGGGTTTCTGCTGGTTGCAGGCATTGGCTTTAAGGCAATTGGATTTCTTGACGCAGGACGAGATGACCCCTCCAGTGCAACTTTGTGCAGGGAGGCCTGATGTAGTGGCACCTTTCAACTTGGGCCAGCTGGTGTGTCTCTTCTGCCATGCCCTGAAAGACCAGTGCTGGGCTTCAATGCATACTACAGGTGTGATGGCAAGCCACAGGGCAGTGATCTATATTATGTGTATTTGCAAATATAACACTACAGCATATTATAAGAATCTATAAAGTAAGCCCAAAAAGGTGGAAAAGGTTCGAATTATCGTTGTTTTTGTAGGATTGGACTTGTCTATGTTTTTTTTTAATACCCTCAAGATCGAGGTGTCTAGAATCCCCACCCCCCTGGGGTTCCCGTTGCAGGTTCTAAAATCATCACCGCTATGATTTTAGAACCTTTAACGGCTATCACTTTAGAACCCTGAAAGTTTGGATATATGAGCCGTGTTGTGGTATGAATTGATTCTAACAGACCACAAGAAAGGTCATTATTTTGGAGTGCAGAAAAAGGAACCAAGTCATGATGAGGTCTCTGCACGAAGGTGCAAAACATGTTTGGAATTAACATCCCTCGTTTTGGTCGATCAAGATTTCCATTTTCAAAACCAGGTGGTTTCAATGTCGCCAACAACCATTCTAGAACCCCAGGTGCTGACTTATGGCCAGCTATAGGCCATCTTAGCCGCTTAGCCATCCTTTGGCATCCCTTCTACATTCTACATCCTTCTGCACATTCTTTAGGTACCAGCACTTTTGGTTCAACCAAACCGTTTGGAAAGAAGGACGCAGGTCTATAATCATCTTCCCGGGTCAATGCGTGTCAAAATACTTTTGGAGCTTGAAGGCAACCATTCTAGAACCCCAGGTGCTGACTGATGGCCAGCTATAAGCCAACTTAGCCGCTCAGCCATCCTTTGGCATCCCTTCTACATTCTACATCCTTCTGCACATTCTTTAGGTACCAGCACTTTTGGTTCAACCAAACCGTTTGGAAAGAAGGACGCGGGTCTATAATCATCTTCCCGGGTCAATGCGTGTCAAAATACTTTTGGAGCTTGAAGGCAACCATTCTAGAACCCCAGGTGCTGACTGATGGCCAGCTGTAACCCAAACTTAGCCATTTTGTCACATTGCTTTGCATTTTACATCCGTCTGCAATACATGTGACAGAGCATGTTTGGAGAACAAAGAAGGGGGAGAGACTGATGGCCCAGGAAGTTTTGAGACTGGTTATGGGCAAGTCAATGCGATAGTCTTGCCAGACTGTAATGCGGTAAGATATGTTTAAAATGGAAGAGGGTGATTTCAAAAGATGACTGGACGACGCAGTCAGTGGGGGGGGAAAGGGGGTCAAAAGGTTGCAATCGATTTTTGCATCCATCCCGACTTTGCTTTAAAAAAAGGTGCTGCTTATATTTCCTGGAAAAGGTGGACCTGACGCAACCTTGTAAAAAATCCTTCAAAAACAGAAAAATCCAAAACATTATGATGACCTGAGCCGTGCAATGCGTACGGGAGGACAAAGACTGTGCGCAAATGAAATGCAAAATGTTGCTTTAAATCATAACAAGGAGATTCCCAAAAAAATCGTGTCAATTTTCCATGATTTTATAGCTGCAGGAAAACGATTCTAGACCCCTACCCCTCCGTACACTTTGGGGTTCTAACATGGTCTCCGTTCACAAATTGGGAAACCTTGGGTTTTCTAAGGGAAAACGATTTTAGACCCCAGATCCGGGGTTTTAAAATGCCAGACAAGGGGGTTTGTTTGATCTTGAGGGTATTTTTTTTGGAGGATTGATACATATATACATACATCTTATTTAATGGATACGTATATATATATAATATATATATATATGACTATATAATGTTTGTATAATAAGGTATGAAATACATGATATAGAAAAGTTTGCCGTGAATCACCATCACACGTGGAGATTTAGCCAGGGAAAAAATGGTGGTGTTTTGTAATGATAATATTCTGAGTATATCAAGGGTAACTATGGCAACCAAAGTTAATAAGGTACTATTGTTCATGGGATGTGGGTAAACCATGTGACCAAACATATGATATACGACCCTGGTTAATTGCCTTTTTTATCCGGATTCAGCGATCATACATATGGAACATTGATGGGGTAGTCTTGGAGAATAATAGGTATACCCTTGGCAATCAAAAATGGCAATATAGAGAACCATCTATTTGTCGATGGTTTCCCATATTTTCCGTTAAAACCTAGATTTAAAGCGGATTTCCAGTTGCCATATACATTTGATTACCAAAGGACACAAGGGGGCTACAACCCAGCTACCAACCACTTACCTTCACCAACAGCGCATCTTCATTTGTCCTCCCAGGTATGGCAGTGGTGCCATGGGTTTCTACAAGTTCAAAGGTTTGGTGCAGGACTTCAGAGCTGCGTTGGCCACATGAAACATGTTTCCCATACCCCACTGATGAGTTATTTCATTGGGATTCAACCATCATCTAGAGGAGACTTCTACTGTAGGTGTTTCATGGTATCATTTTGGGGATATGATTGATAAATAAGAACTAATGTAGCCATCTGTTGGTTGATGTTGTGTGGATTTTTTCAGCACAAGTAGCACCAAATAGAGACTTCATGAGGAAACCATTGGAATATAACTGATGAGCGATGTTTAATAGACAACTGGATTATTCATCTACCTGATTTATTTGGGATCGATTTCTGCAGGTGTACATATGAATTCATAAGTATATATACAAATATATACATATGTACTGTATGTACTGTATATGTACATATATATATTTAAATAGCTATTGGTCCACCAGTATTTCATGAGACAGGGCAGTGGTATTTATCATGGCTCACATGGCAAATAGGGAATGCCTGACATTGCCTGAAATATGTTGTTCTATATTATGATTTGGCTCCATAACTATTGTTTGTGGATATTTCTGTAGATTTGTTTTTTGTTGGTTTCAACATTGGTTCAATTCCGCGAGAAATCCAGGAAATCCCAGCGCAATACGGCAATGCAAATTGACTCAGTTTGTTTTGTTTTCTAGACACATGGAATAGTTTTTTGTCAACATCAGGGTGAAAATGGCAAGATCACATGTGACTTGTGACTTGCCAGAAATGGGTCTCAAACACTTGGAGCCCCATCCCACTGAATCTGGTCATGTGGTCTTGGAGGGTTGTTGCAGGGATTGGTTGACAGTATCTTCGATCAAGGGTTGCACCGTGAATCTATTGGATTCTGATCCAAGTGCATCATTGAAGCATCTTATCCTGTGATGCTTTCCGAACCACAATGCAAGGTATCTAGGACTGTTTGAAACAAGTGTTTTAGCAATTGGGAATTTGAAAACACCACACGGAAGCCGTGATATTTGATGGCAAGTGGCGGCGAAGAAGATAATGTAGTGACCCAGGAATTGGATCCCAATATGAAATACCAGTGTTGCATATCATATAGTTCTGATTAATGGGTTTTAATATATTTGAAAGTTTACAGTCAATCATGTCCTGTACTTTCACTTGTACTTGTATAGGCATCCTTCCTTTCAGGGTCAACTGCCATGCACTACGTTGTTTGGCTCAAGATGAAAACAGTGGCCCTTGCACTTGCTTTTCTGGTCTTGGTTGCTGTTTGTTCACTTTTGGGGTGTCAAGTCACAATTTAATTGGTTATCAGTTCCCTAGGTGCTTTTGGTTGTTGTTGCGGTTGTTGAACCGCCCAAATGCAAACTTTCACCTTTAAGGTTTCCAGGCACCTTAAGCCTGCGCATGTCTGACAGCGAAGAAGCCTACAGAGATTTTGCTGAGGAACACGGGGAGGTTGCTGAGCCTTCGGGTTTGGTGCTGGCGTGCAGCACCAAATCAAGCAGGAAAATGACAAGCAGGTCAGGGAAGAGGATCAGGAAGCAGATCCTCAAGAAGGAGGGTACACGCCGGCGTCGCTTGGCCTATCAACTGCACGAGGCAGCGGCTCGCGACATTGACCCTTGAGGTACCAGTTTATCATCAAGGAGGGCAGCACAGGCCGCCGTTCAGCTCCAGATTCTGGACCTGAGAGACTTCAGAGGCATCGTCGGACGTGGTCGAAATGCCAACGTAAATAATCATCAAAGATGATCACCATCCTAACTATTACCATCCTAACCTGTCTCCATCAAACCATCACCCCCATTATCTATCACAGCCTAATTCAAGCATTCACAGATAATATTCCACATTTTACGATATTATACCATTATCTATAATTATCCATAATAGTCTATTAACGTTTTTTTTTTTAATCCACCATAGTTTATTTTCTATAACTATTCGTCTATGATTATGATCATACCATATCAACACCATATTAGTTTCCCATTATGTACAATATGGTTATCTGAGATGGAGATTTATAGACCGATAGATACTTGTATAAGTTACCCATAATACCATGCTATTGTATCATCATCTGTATAAGTTGTATTGTTCCCATCTATACCACTATCCATTCCTTTCACTAGCCATTGCTTTTGTTTTGTTATGTTTAAACAACTTTAATAGCTATTATTTGTTATTCCCATTATCACTAGCTATAATCATATTCATAACCATTATCTAGTAAGTAGGTTAATAACCATTAATACCATGTCATTGTAACATTATCATTAATCCATTGTCTATAGTTACCCATCATAGTCTATGAATACCATCATAGACAATATGTATTATACCATGTTATATAGATTTTTATGAACCAGATGTATATAGATTTTTCCCGAGAGCGTCTGAGCGCAGGGTTCTTCCAATAGTGGGGGTCTGTAAAACATCTTCTCATCTTCACATCTTCTCTCACATCTGCTCATCTTCACATCTTCTCTGACATCTTCTCTCACATCTGCTCATCTTCACATCTGCTCATCTTCACATCTTCTCTCACATCTGCTCATCTTCACATCTTCTCTCACATCTTCTCTCACATCTG